GGCAGGCAGATTTTGCTCACCTGGGATAATGTTTGCTAAATAAAAAGTTGAGGAAATCAATCTCCTCCACCCAACATATGGTATAGTCTGTCTCCACTTGGCTGTGGTCCTAGATATTTTAGCACCTTAAAACAGGAGAAAAAAAAATGCACCCAATGAATGCTGACTGACCCAGGCTGTCACTTCACCTTTTATACCTCTTTCCTCTGGTATAAAGTGAAGATGGACTCCTGTGTCACACTGAAAGTGATGGCAGGGTGGGGACTGGGTTCTTTGGGAGGCTGTGGCATTTTTAGCAGGGGGCTTTGGGATGTACAGGGGTGGCAAAGGCAAAGCGGAGGCACTGGACTCTGAATGAGCTGTGAGTTGGAGTCTAGCGTGGCCACCCTTGACTTTGGGCAAGTTACTTCCCTTTTCCGAGAAAGCCTCCCAAGGCTCCTTACTACACAAACTTTCCCAGTGGTTGTTGGGGCTCTGCCAGCCTCCGCCACCTGCCTCTGTTTTCCAGTCACTCAGCACATTTATTGTAACTACTTGTGTTTATAGTCACTCATCCTGGCTGGGCAGAGGCTCCTCGTGTCTTACTCACTGCTGTGTCCTCAGCACAGTGACAGGTACAGAAGAGATGCTCAATAAAAACTTGACTGTATGAAGGTACTCAATAAATTGTTTATTGAATAACAAGTTGCTTATTATATATCAGGTACCCTACATGCTTTATCTAATATCATCAAAGTAATAAAAATTATAATTAAGATTTATTATGTGCCACTGAGCATTATATGTAGCACCCCCTTTCATCAGTTCTATGAGGTAGGATTTTTTTTTTTTTTTTGGTACTGCAGATTAAACCCAAGGGTACTTTAACACTGAATTATATCCCTAGCCATTTTTATTTTTCATTTTGAGGCAGCGTCTTGTTTGCAATCCTCCTGTCCCAGTTTCCTAAGCAGCTGGGATTATAGGCATATGCACTGCACCTGGCAAGATCATACCTTATATCCATTTCTCAGATGAGGCCAAACTGATATTCAGAGAAGTTATACAATCTTCCATACTCATGCAGCTAAAGATTAACTTCAGATTTGAACCCAGATCCACTGTCTAAAGTTTGGTCTCCTATTTTCTCAACAGTTATTCTAAAAAAGCAAATATATTGCTGACATTGAAGGGAAATTCTGCTAATCCATAAAAGGAGGACCAGCTGCTGGCCTGGTACTCACACTGGTAGTACTCAGCGCGGCCACTCTGTAGCACGATGGCCAGCCCCAGTGTGAGTTGTGGCGTCGTTTCCAGGAAGGTCTCAAAGAGCCGCAGCATGCTGATGTCCAAGGACAGGAAGTCTGCATAGGCCAGGTCAAACTCGGAAGGCTCCTCCTGCTGCCACACCAACAGCCCCTGCTGTAGCCCCTGCAGGCATCTAGGCAGCACACACAGATGCCCACAGGGCCAGGTCAGCGTCCAGGGAATTCCTCAGCCTCTTACCCATCTGGCAGATGCAGACAGTCTCTGATCCTAACTTGTCTACTCACATGGTAGAAGGACTTGGGCAAGCTACCTAACTTCTCTGAACCTCATCTATAAATTGGGATAAACACAACTTTTAGTCCTGCTGGTTAGGCGATGCCCCAAGAGCATCACAAACCTTGTCCTGTTTACCCCTCACAAGAGCCCCATTTTACATCTCGGGAAATGGCATCAAAAAGCTAGTAGTGGGGCTGGGGATATAGCTCAGTTGGTAGAGTGCTTGCCTCGCATGCACAAGGCCCTGGGTTCAATCCCCAGCATCACAAAAAAAAAAAAGCAGCAGCAGCAGCAACAGCAGCTAGCAGTGAAGGAATCAGAAAGGGACCCAAAACTGTTTGAATTTGAAAGGCACGCTATAAAGTTGTCCAAGGCAGTGGTTCTCACTTTTACTATGCCTAAGAATCTCCTGGGATCCTGTGGGCAAGGAACTATGGAGAGCTTCTGAGCATGGGCAACATGGGATCAGATTGTGCTCTAGAAGACACTGGCTGGGGCGAGGAGGAAGGGTGGGAAGAGTTCCAGTGGAGCAGAAATCCCATTTTAAGAGGATGCTGGAGCCAGGCACAGTGGGACACACCTGTAATCCCAGTGACCCAGGAGGTTGAGATAGAGGATTCCAAGTTCAAGGCCAGCCTCAGCAATTTTGCAATGCCCTAAGCAACTTAGCAACACCCTGTCTCAAAATAAAAAATAAAAAGGACTGGGGATACAGCTTAATGAAAAAATACCCCGGGGTTCAATCCCTAGTAACCCCACCCCCCCCCAAGAAAAAGAGAGATTTCTGAAACAGCCCAGGGACAAATGGGGGGTGCAGGGCTGGCCCAGATGGGTGGGGATAGAGACTAGGGCAGAATTAAGGTTGTCCACACAGGCCTCAGGGATTAACTGGCCTAAGGGGACAGTAGTTCTGCACCCAGAATTGATCTCACTTGGCTCTAGGGGGAGAGTCCATTCCCTCCATGCAAATTCATTCAGCAGATGCCAGCTGTCACTTGCCTCTATAGACCTGACACACACTGAGCGACAGGCAGGCAGGGCTCTGTTGGGGCTCTCCCTCATAGGAGCTTCTGCCTTTGGTCCTCTAATGCCTCAACAGAAGCCCCCACTTCAGCCTTGTCACAAGCAGGAACAGAGACCCTATTTTCAAGCCAAAAGTCAGCAGAAACAGGAGAAGGCAAGATGCATGAAGCACTCATGAACGCAGGCCCAGTGAGGCCTCCGGGACAGTAATACTGTGCCCCTCCATACCCATCAGGGTTTTACTGGTGTCTCCTGCAGTTCCTCGGGAAAAATGGCAACATCAAAGCTCCTCTCTCTACTTCTGGAGACTCCATGCAGCTTTGTCAAAGCAAGATCTTAATAGAATTTGTAAAAATGGACTTCAAAGCAGATTTCGCCTCCAGCCATCCTAACCCAGACCACACAATGAAGTCCTGACTTCATGGCATGGCTTTGACCCTTTGATTTCAGTTTCGCTGTCTCTACAGGCCCCTGCTAATTCTAAAAAGGAGCATAGTCTGCACATATTTTCGGAGACCCAGCCTGTGCCCAGCTCTGGCTGGTTCCAGGGGTGTTAGATAAGTCAAACTGCATGATCTCTTTGTTGTTGTTGTTGTTTTAATAGTACTGGGGATTGAACCAGAGGCACTTTACCACAGCCACATCCCTAGTCCTTTTATTTTTTATTTTTCGTTTTAAGACAGGGTCTCACTAAGTTGCTTTGGGGCTTGCTTAGTTGCAGAGGCTGGCCTCAAATGTTTGATATTTCTGCCTCAGCCTCCCAAATCACTGGGATTACAGGAGTTCATTAGGGAGCCCAGCACACCTCTGCCCTCTTGCTCCATCTGGGGATGGGAAGCCAGTGTTGAGGGAGAAGCACACAACTGGGAAAGAAAAGGAGAGAGGGAATGAGCATGCTCTGGGGGTTCAGGGCTGCTGAAACTCACAGGGTGGCCCACATAATCATGAAGCTAGATGGCATTTGTTGGATGCTTACACTGTGCCAGGACAATTTACAGGTGTCATTTCATTTAATCCTCACCAAAGAGAAGCAGGCATTGCAGCAATGAGTAAACAGATCTTGAGAGGTCAGTGACCTGCCCAAGGCCCTGCTCAGGATTAAAAGGAACAGCAGCGCTGAACAGTGCCAGCACAGCCTGAGGTACCTTCCTACTCCTTCCATTGACTCCTCACAACTGACCTGTCTGCCAGACCTGTCTCTCCGCAACTGCTTCTTTCTATAGAGGAGAACACTGAGGCTCAGAGAAACGCAGAAAGGAAGTCACAGGTGGCATAGCCAGACACGGACTCCAGAAAATCTGACTGCTAAGCCCTCTTTCCCTCTTCCCTGAACTCCGCTTTCCTTCACCGGAACCTGAAGGGTAGAGCTAGATAAGCTCTGGGGACTCTAGACCTGGATTCTCTTTCCTTAAGGGTCTGGAGGCTCAGCTGCTGAGATCTGGTTCCTCTTCTGGCGTCCATCCTCTCCTCCCACCCCCTTCAGGGTGTCAGGAGTCTCGCCTCTACTACTAATAGCCCAGGTGCAGGAGGTACCGATCTCCCTCCCCTTTCCGAGAGCGCAGCGCTCACCTGTACAGGTAGCCCAGCTGCAGGAAGTGCAGCAGCGCCAAGCAGCGGCCGGGAGGCTGCGACTCGTGCAGACCAACGGGGTCGGCGCGCAGCCAGACCCAGCTAAAGAGCTGCAGCGCCACCGACGCCAGGACTAGCAGTGCCAGCACCAGCGCGGCCCATAGGTAGCGGCCGCTGAGCGCATACTGGCCGGCGGCCCACAGGTCCGCGCCCAAGTCGAGCAGGAAGGCGGCGGTGCCCAAAACGCCCAAGATCAGATCCCGAAGGAGAACGGCGCGGGACGACCAGGGCATGACCCGCCTGCCTCTGCCCGCTCCCTCCCCTTGCCCCTGGGACCCACACTCAATCCCAGGGTCGCGGTCGCAGGAAGGAGGCGGGAGCAGCCCTTAGGGCAGCCCCGGGCCGGGCCTGCTGGGCGGGACTTCCCAATCCCGCCCCGTCCGGGGAGGAGCGAAGCTGGTGTATTGCCCGAGCCCCCAAGCCAGCCCTTCCGCATCCCAAATGGCGCCCCCGAATCTGGTCCTGTCAGCCCTTGGGGTTTCCCGGACCAGCTCAGTGGAGCTGCGAGGGCCAGGAAGACCGATACCTTTCGCTTGGCTGGCTCCTAATTGACTGGTTTTACATTCAGGAGCCTGGAGACTCCAGAAGGAGAGAATGGCGGGAAAACTAGAACCTAAAGTCCAGGCAACAACCGTGATCCTTTACGTTTACATTATTGCAAACCCAAACGAGGGCGGGGCGCGGGGAGGGAAAGACATATTCTGACCCCAAATGCGGTATTTTTGCAAACTACAGGTGCTCAGTTTAGACTTGAGCAGGGGATACACCAGGAGCACAGGACGGACATGGTGGTTCATTGAGTGCACTTGTAACTGCAAGTGACCCACTTTAAACATCATTTACATATTAAAAGGAATAATGTACAGAATAAAATGCACCATGAGCATTGTTTTGTGGATAAGACATGAAACTTTAAAGAAATGTGCTTCTGGAGGAGTCTTTGGGGCTTCGTTTCTTGATCCGGCAGTCCCAGTCTAGTTTACTCCCCTCGGATGCGGGGAAATGGGGGTGAAGTCCAGGTCTCGAGGGGGTGATGCTGCTCCAATTTGCCAGGAGGAAGGCGAGCTAAGCACGGGGACAACTAAAGTCACCGTGCTAACAGTGCGTGCAGGCCCAGATATGATGCCAGCAGGAGCGGCAGCAGGGGCGCAGGCGCAGTGGCGAAAGCCTGTAGGCAGGTGGCATAGGCCTCGAAGGCAACCTGTTGGATGGCACACACGTGCTCTGTGCGGCAAGGCTCACCACAGGATGCCAAGTCGTAGCTGACTGAGTTGTAGACGTAGTAGCGCTGCAATGTGCCCTGGTTGGTGGCGATGCGGATCAGCGCAGCGTGCATGGAGCGGGGGCCTGCGTCTGGCACCTCATAGGCCTCAGTCAGCCGGTACTCGAGCTCCCAGCGTGGGCTTTCCTGCGAGTTCGCCAGGCTTAGGTTCATGAAGTAGGTCACCATGTCCTGAAGAGCGGGCACAGGGTCAGGTGAGCAGTTGTTTAGCTGCACCCCTAATTCTATACCTTGCATTTACCCCTAGATTCTTTATAGTCATAATAATGACTGCTATTAGTGAATGTGTAGCCACCTACCAGGTATGCTTGGCAGACATCCTCTGATGAGGTAACTGGGCTTATTACTCCCCTTTTACTAATGAGGCAATGGAAGGCCTAAAGAAGTAAATTCACTTGACCAGGGTCATATAGTGGCAAGGGTAGAATTGGGACCCAGATTGTTTACCCCACTGCATTTTCTGTTCTATAAGGGAGTAGCCAGTTGACAGAGGCTTCTCCCAGCCATCTCTACTTGGATGCCAAACTAGATCTTCCCTCTGAAACCTCACCTTCCTGCAGTCACCCTGTCTCAATAACCAGAAACCTCATCTTCTCAGTGCTCAGGCCAAATGCCTCAGAATCCTCCATTCGTCTCTGACACGCCCCATATCCCACACCAGTCCACTAGCAAATTCTAGCTACTCTGCTTCCAAAATACCTACAGGATCAGACACTTCTCACCAGTGCCCTTCCACCACCCTGGCCCAAACCACCATCATCTTGCAGTTGGTTTCTGTGACACTTATGTCCTAACTGCCCCTCTATTTCTCCCCTTGGCCCTGGTGACTTGTTCTTGGCACAGCACACGTGGTGATTCTGTAAAACTGTATCAGAATATATTTTTGCTCTGTCCCAAACCCTCCCAATTCAGAGTCTTCCTTGTGCCCTTCATGACCTGGCCTCACTCCTTCCACTCTTCCCTGTGCCTTCCACTGTGGCCACCCTGGGCTCTTCCCCTAATGCACCCAGCACGTTCCCACCCCAGGGCCTCTCACTTGCTGTTCCCTTTGTCTTCCTAAGATGTCCACCTGGCTCAATCTCTCAATTGATTCAGAGCCCAAATGTCACCTTACCTGTGACCCTTTCCTCCTAAGAGCACACAAAACCCTTTACCATCACTAACCTTCTCCTCCTTCCGTTTTTTCTTCCTGGCTCCACTCTGTCCCTACTCAATTTTAACCTATTCATTTATTATCTCTCTTCTGTCAGAACATCAAGTCTAAAAGGGCAGCAAGCTTGTTTAGCTGTCATATGCATTTCCTGAGCCAGAACAAGACATATCACAGAGGCTTCATGTTCCACATTTTGTTGAACAGATAAAGGAATAGTATTTCTTTGGCATTTCAACAATCATAGCCATCTTAGGAGGTGAGGGCTTGTTTGACAAGTTAGGGCCTAGAGCCTACTCAGTATTAGGGAAGAAGTGGGCAATGGACTTGAGATCAGAGTGTGGGAAGCCTCAAATACCAAGCCAAGGAGATCCAGCTTTGTCTTGAGGGCACTGGAATGCCATTTGGAGAGTTTGTTGTTTGTTTTTGTTACTGGGATTGCTTGAACGTTGAAGCACTTTACCATTGAGCTACATCCCCAGCACTTTTTATGTCTGAGACAGGGTCTTGTTAAGTTGCTTAGGGCCTCACTAAGTTGCCAAGGCTGGCCTCGAACTTGCTATTCCTCTCTCAGCCTCCCAAGTTGCTGGGATATCAGGCTTGCACCAAGGCATCCCACTCATGTGGATGAAAGCAGTGCTTCAGAGAGATGAATCCCTTCTTTTTGTGTAGTGGATGGGTTATTGCATGCAGGTCAGGGTGGGAGGCAGGAAGACAGGGAAGGAGGCTATGGCAACCATCCTGGACGAAGGGGGGTTTGGGGAAGAACTGACCTGCTTTAGTGGCAGGCAGCTCCAGGGTTCTGAACCTGATCCTGAGAAGAGTGGAAGTAGCTTGGGAGAGGCTCAAGGGTCAGCAGCAGGTAAGCAGGCTGGCTGAGAGTTAAGGAAGTCCCTCCCACCCTCCTCCTCTGGCCTCAGCAGACCCAGGGCCCCTGACCTGCAGCTTCAGTGTGGCTCGGTCATACTCCAACACCCGGATGCCTGGATTATTGGCCCCGTTGACGACTCCGGGTAATGTGGTTTTCCACGGGGTGACCCCAGGCGTGAGAAACATGACGCTTATGGGGGCACCTTTTAGGAGAGAGAAAGTGGGACTGAGAGAGGTTGGTGAGAGAAGGAGGGGGCATGCTGGCATTTGCCCTCCAGATCGAGTACCTGCATCATCGTAGAACATCCGGAAGCTGTCGGTATGGTGGTGCCCAAAGAACTGCCCTGCTATGACTCTATGGTGCTTCCGGACCACCTTCAGGTACTCCTCATTGAAGTCCTCCCGGAACCACGGCTTGTTCCGTGTCTTCTCAAAGAAGCCGGGGGGCACGTGGCCAATAATGTACACCTGCAAGGAAGAGGTGTCCAGGACAGAGGTGTTCTCTCCGGATCCTCATTTCTACCTCTTAAAACTGCCCATCTCGGGGCTTGGGATGTGGCTCAAATGGTAGAGCGCTTGCCTGGCATGCGTGAGGCACTGGATTTGATCCTCAGCACCACATAAAAATAAAATAAAGATATTGTGTCCATCTAAAACAAAAAAAATAAATATTAAAAAAAAAACTGCCCATCTCCCCCAAAGGCAGGTGGGCAGCTCACAAGAATCTCATCCCTGACATTCCTCCCATTCTCTCCCCTGACATTTGCTCTATACCCCAAAACAGGTGTGCCACATGCCTTCCCACCTCTGTGTCTTTGTCCATGCTATTCGTGCCAACTGGAGAACCCTTCTTGTTTTCTATAAATCCTACCCTTACTTCCGATCATTGCTCCAAAATCACCTCCTCCATGAAGCCTTCCTATTCCTTCTCAGAGAGCTTGAGCATTCTTATATAGCATGCTATGTGGCCATGTGTGTTCATGCCTTACACTCCCCAAGTCACTTGGTTAATAAACCTTGGCTACTTGGCCACCTTTGCAGGAGACAGAACAGGGGACAGGATTAAGAACATGAGCTTTGGAGTCAAACTGCTGCTTGGACACCAGCTGTGTCACTCTCTGAGTGTCAGCTGTCTCTCATCTGGAATAGCAGCTACCTGGTGGAGTTTTCAGAGTTAAATGAGATCATCCATAAAAAGCACTGAGCTTGGCATCATGAGTGCTCATGAGCACCAGCTGTGATACCCTCTTGGAACATTCTGGGCAGTGCAAGGACTCAGGTACATGAGACACTTTGCCAGTCCTTGAGGTGCCATCCCAGCAGACTAGATGGACATATCTCAAGGCCAGGGCATCCCCCTGAGATCTAGTGCACAGTACAGGTGGCCAGGGTGGTGTAGTAGCAGTGGAAAGAGCTCTGAACTTGGGTTCTAGAGACTGGGGTTCTACCTCCGCTCCATCATTTACTGGGTGATTTGGGACCATCACTGTTCCCGTGAGCCTCAAGGTCTTCATCTACACAGGCTCCAGGACCCAGGACCCTCCTAGCCCATAGGGCTGTTGTGGGAGTAGAAGCGGCCCCTTCTAAGATGTGTGCATCTCAGTGTGGGCAGATGAGTTTGTGCCAAGTGGGAAACTTGTTCGGGAAGTAACCCAGAAGAGAGGGAGGAAGAAGCAGGAGCACTCACCATCTCCCCAGCCTGGGATGCATTGGTCAGCACATCTTCCAGCCACTGGAACTGCAGGCCCGGGTCAGCCATGCCAGCTGTCTGCTCATTGTTGCTGTAGTACAGGTTGGTGTTGAGGACCACGATTCGCCCCGCCCTGCTCGGACCTGGCAACTTCTCAGAATAGAAGGCACCTAGGATGTCACAGCCAGGGAGAACCTGAAGGGGGCTCCTGCCGGATTCCACCTCACTCTCCCACCTTCTCCTTCCCACCTTTCCCCTACGAGGGGCAGCGAGGAGTAAGACCAGGGGCTCTGTCATTCATTAGCTGTGCAACTTGAGAAAGTTACTTCACCTCTCTATGCCTTAATTTCCTCATCTTCTAATGGGAATAATAATAATGTGTTTGCCATTCGGATCCATTGTTGACCCTCCTCCACTCAGCTATCTGTTCCAGGAGCTGACCTGTTCAGACTAAAGCAATGGGCTTCTGCGCTGCAGACTTGTGGTTGGTTTAGACCCATGGGGAGTCCCAGCAGCCGGAGACAGAAGAAAGGGAAGAAAAGGGTCAGGCATCCCTGGGGCTGGCTGGGTCTCTGGACCAGTGGTTCTCAACCAGGAAAGTTTTGACCCAGGGAACATTTGACAATGTTCGGAGAAATTTTTAGTTGTCACAACTGGTGTGTGAGTGGCATCTAGTGAGTAGAGACCAGGGTTGAGGCTAAATACTCTACAATACTCTCACAGAGGATGGCCCTCTATAAGAAAGAATCATCCAGGCCACAATGTCAATGGTGGCAAGGGTCAAACCAGGTTGAGCTTGAAGGTCAGCTCCTTCCTAGGGTTGCTGTGAAGATTTTAGAACTGTGCTTAAGAGACGCTGGCATACAGTAAATGCTGAATATCTATTGGCTTATGACCATCATTAATACTGTGAGGTTAAAAGCGCAAACTTTGGAGTCTGTCCTGGATTCTGCTCTCAAGCTTGCCTTTGCTAAGCTGTGCAACCTCAATCAAGTGATTTGATACTTTCAGGCCTCAGTCTCCTAATCTGTAAAATAAGGATAAAATCAGTACCTATTTCAAGGAATTGTTGTGAAGATGAAATTAGATCATACAGTAAGTGCTCCTTACAGTAGCAAATGGCTTTTGTACCTTCTTTGAAGAGAGTGACGGATTCGTTACTAAGCCATGGTCTCCATAATTCTGCTACATGATTGTAGATGTTGTTGCTCTGTGCTGGGAACTGGTTTTTAGGGTGAAAGTCATGATTTCCCAAAGCTGCGTAGACTTTAGTGTCTGGGAGGAAAGGAAGAAATATTTTTACAATATGCAAAAGAGGGCTGGGGCTGTAGCTCAGTGGCAGAGCACTTGCCTAGCATGTGTGAGGCACTGGGTTCCATCCTCAGCACCACATAAAAATATGGCATTCTGTCCATCTACAACTACAAAAATTTTTTTTAAATATGTAAAAGACTTGATGGAGTTAGCCATTTTCAGTTGACTACTGGCCATTGGAGCTGATGGGAAAGAACAATAACAGATGAAGAAAACACAAAAATAAGTATAAAAAAACCACATTTGATAAAATCTGGCTGAACTTTGATCAAGTCTGGGAAGGAAGGAAGAGCAGCAAGTTGCCTGATCCCAGCCCCTAAACCCATTCCCAGCAGAAAATTTTCTGGTCATAAAGGAGGCCCCAGATGATAAGGGGAAAGTGGGAGGGTCTAAATAATTCATTATCATCATCAGCCACTTGATACCTTGTCAATTCCAGATCCATCTTACTGTTAGGGGAGCAGCCTCATTCACTCTGGGAGGACTAAGAAATTTCCCACATTCATGAAGTCAACAAATTTTTATTAAGCACCTACTATGTGTCAATGCATAGATCTGGGAACCAGGTTCTCACTTGCAGTCCCAGAGGATCTGCAGCGCAGTAAGTTACTAGGTACTGAGTAATTAGAGGTATGAGCGCTGTTTAAAAAGGGTTGGGGGGGGGCAGGTTACTTGCTATGGGAGTGATAATGAAGGTCTGAAAGTAGGGAATTAGGGGATGCCTCCCTGAGGAATTGGCCTGTGAATATGTACAGTGGGTATAGGAGAGCTCAGCAGACTTATTTCCTCCTTGTTAACAGCCTTACTACTGCTTTTATTTTATTTTAGGCTCTATGTCTGACACACAGTAGGTGCACAACAAATATTTGATAATGAATAAAAACTCCTCTAGAAAGAGAAGGGGTAGGGGGAGACCCTCTTGTTCTCAGAGACATGGGCCTTGCTCATATACAAGTTTGATACATCCCAGGGAGTGACCTTGAACCACCATGAGAAACAGAAGCCTTCAATTCCAGGCTGGGAAATGCCTCTAACAAACCCATTGCCATGTATAACCTACAAGATCTGGAAATGCAAAGAGCTCTGCATCAGGAGGAGGTTGTTTAATGGTTTACCCTAACTGCCTGGAAGCGGCTCTCTAAAGTACATGCCAACAGCCACTAAGAATCCTGGGAAGGGCTGCAGGTGCAGCTCAATGGTAGAGCATTTGCCTACCATGCGCAAGGCCCTGGATTCAATCCCCAGCTCTGCAAAAAAAAAAAAGTGAAGGAAAAAAAGGCAAGAATTATTTTAAGAAAAAGCACAAACCCCAGAGTCCCAAAGGCAGATGAGAAGGGAAGGAATCTCTTCAATTTTTTTTTTTAACTCCTGCCAAGTTCCAGGTTCCTTGCAAACATAAGGTCCTGTATCATCCCTAAAGAAAAAGGCAACAGTGAAACATCATGTCCCTGAATGCTCCCTTTCTATTCCCAAGAACCTAGCCAAGTTAAGGGAACAATGACGGGAAGCCTCGGCCAGAAGTTTCAGATACATATATCTTGAAGGACACTGGCTTTCTCTTACACACACTGGGGACTAGGGCACTCAGTAGAAAGCTGTAGAAAGCTTTCTTGCACTTACGTCAGGACAGTTGCCCCTGAGGATGCTGATCAGACAGGCGAACTAAGCTAATGCCGATGATGTCACTGCTTCTGCAGCCCAACATGTAAAACTCCTCTCTGAGTGGGACAGGTGCAGAACTGAGAGTACTGTGGAAAGGATCTGTGTCATTCAGCCAGACAGGACACTGGACAAATGCCATAGGGGAGAGGAGGCGCTGCTTGACAAAGTGTCCTGAGGGAGGAGGTGCTATCTGACAGCCTGTTGCCTCTGAACTTCCTTGGAGCAGTCACTCATCTCTTGTAAACTTTCCCCCAACAAATTGCGTGTCTTGCAAGACTTCATATGGCCTTTCAGCAACCTACCCCACTGCCCTGGCACAAGTGGACATGATGGCTCCATCAAGGGCATGACCTGGTATCTTGTTTATTGTCCGATTCCCCAGCCCCTATAGTAGTGTCTCACTCATAGTATGTGCTCAATAAATATTTGTTGATTAATCAAAAGAGTAAATGGGTTACCTTTTTTCATCACCATAACAACCCAGGGGGCAGAGACAGGTCCCAGTGTTCTCTTTTATTCACAGGAAGAAAACAGAGTCTAGATGAGATTACCCAGTCAGAATGTGGCAGAGTAAGAATTAGGTTCTGGTTTTTGTTGTTGTTTTTAATTTTATAAACCTGCTTGCTAGCAAGGCAGGGCCAGTGTCCTCAGTGACTGGTGGTCATACAGGTGATATAGAACACGGAATCTCTAACTGTGTCCTTTCCTCCTCTTTTTTTAAAATTATTTTTGGGATGCTAGAGATTGATCCCAGGGCTCGGTACATGCTAGACAAGTGCTTTACCACTGAGCTACAGTTCCAGAACCCTCGAACAAATTGTTTGACCTTACTTATTTAAAATGGGGGTGTTCTGTTTGGCCTCTGTTATTATAATTCTCCAATAAGATGATGTTTCATTTCTTCTCTTCCATTTTGGTCTCATTTTAACATCTCTAAAAGTGAGTTGTGTCTTCCCATGATGGTCATGAGAAAGCACTATGCCATTTTCAACAGGTAGCATTGTCTTCTTGGCCATATATAAAATAATGACATATCACTTAGTCAGTGACATCTTAGATATTAGGAAATTTAATAAAGGTGCCAGGGTGTCATAGACTACAAAATCTTATCATTTATATTTGTGTGTTAAATCAGAGCCAAAAAAAACATTTTCTTATACATTATTCTACTTCTACTATAGAAGTTCCACGTGGAGCAGAGGAAAGAGGCTCAAATTGGACCTGAATATGAATTCTTCCCTAGAAAGTGACTAGCTCGGAGCCATAGTTCCCTATGTATGATTGGGAATAATCGTACCTATTGCTGGGTGAGGAGGATGTCCTAGTTTGATCCTAAGTAGTAACATCTGCTGGAAGATAAATAAGCCCAAATGCGTCTGGGTTGGGCATGAGTTAAATAAACGGGAAGAGGTTGAGTTAAATAAGCTGGAAGCTTCCAGGCATCTCTTTGACCTAGTTGTTTTATGTTAAGGGGAGGAGGCAGAGGGAGTGATGATAAGAACAGAGTTCAGATTAGGATTTAGGGCCTCACCCTTGCCATATGACCTTGACTAGTGGACTTGACCCAAAGGCTCAGTAGTAAAGGTAAGCAGGTAAGAGCTTCCCTCTCTGGGACTATCATGACAATGAATGAGCTAAGATGTGAAATTCTCAGTATGGACACTTGGCTCAGTTATTAATGCAACTGTTACTTATTTTTATTATCATTGTTCCATATCTGGATTCTGGGGACCCATGACTAAGACTTTTAGAAGGAGCAGCTGTACTAGAACTGAAGAGGGTGTAGGCAGCTATCTCAAATCCCCAGCTGGCAGCCTGTGGACTTGATTCAGGCCCCAGGACCTTGCATTTGGCAGAGCCCCTGACACACATATTTAACATGAGATGAGGCATAGACACTCTCCTCCCTGTTATGTGCCCCAAAGTCATTGCCTCACTCCATCTCCATCTCTGTCTGTTCTGCCAGGCTCACAAGGCCTTGAAAGCACACAGACAGCACCTTGGCTAGAAATCAGCTTTTCCCAGAGGCCTTGGCAGCCTGGATGGTTTGAAGACAGCAAATGCCGACTCCAGGGACATAGTAGGACATGTGTGTAAGCCACATGATGCTTACCCAAAGACACCACAAAAGTGTAGACAAATGAGAAAGGTTTGAGTCTAGTGTTCACAAAGAAGGAGCAGAAGGTAGTAAAACACAGGCATCTCCTTCCGCGTCCCTTGCAGGATTGTGCAGAAGGTAAGAAATGGTCACTGTGAAGCACCTGGCACAGGACCTGGGCAGCAGCCATCATGGTCAGAGGAGAAAAGCCTCACTGCTGCTGTCCTGCCCCTGTGCCGGGCACTATCTGGAGTTCAGAGACCAATCAATGGCAGAGTCTTACCTGGAAAGACCTCCCTGAGGAGGCTGGTCAGGCGCTCCACAATTTCCAGCACAGCTGCCTCTCCCAGCCTCTCATTGGGCACGTGAGGCGTGTCATCACTGAAAAACACCACAGAGACAGTGGGGGTAGGAAACGCAGAAAGGGACAAAAGAAGAGGAAGGGACAACACTGCAGTGAGAAGAAAGTTGTGGAACTGGGCTTCACATATCCACATGAAGGGGAATGGTCAGGCTGGAGCAGAGACAGAAAAGCGTTCTAACATGGGCTCTGCCATTTGCCTGCTGTAGGTCCCTGGCCTGGTTCTTAACCTCTCTGAGCCTCTATTAGCTCATCTTTATTTATTTATTTATTTGTTTGTTTGGTGCTGAGGTTTGAACCCAGTGCCTCACGTGTGCCAGGCAAGCATTCTACCACTGAGCTACAATTCCAGCCTAGCTCATCTCTAAAACAGGGAATAATAGGCACCAACTCAAGAGTACTGATGAGACTTCAATAGAGATGAAAAATACACACACACACACACACACACACACATGTATGTATAACATATATAATGTATTAACAGCATCTGTTAGGTTGTCATTAATATTAGTTATTAGCGGGGCTGGGAATGTGGCTCAGGCGGGTAGCGCGCTCGTCTGGCATGCGTGCGGCCTGGGTTCAATCCTCAGCACCACATACCAACAAAGATGTTGTGTCCGCC